GATTCCAGTTCCCACAGCTCTGTGTATCTGTTAGTGTCACATACAGTGTGACCTAGAATCCTCAGGGCCAGATCCAGATGTCCAAGTTAGGGCAATGGAAAAGTTTTCCAAAATCTCAGTGTAAATGGGCTGGAGTCTCTAAAATTTATAACTTCCTGCAGGAGTTCTCAAGCAACTTAAACCAAAGTGAAACTTAGTAGAAACCTTATATTAAACTTGATAGATGATTTTTTAGTCCTAGAAGTAGGAACGGAAAGAAATTTGTTTATTTATTATTAGTTTGGATGTTCCTTACATGTGGAATTCAGTGGTTTGCTCCCTCTGCACTACCAGACAGAAAGCAACTGGGGCAGGGGCTTATGCCTTGCTGGAGGGATGGAATCCACCTGCAGGTGCTAACCTGCCTCAGCCTTCTCCACCTTTACACCCTGTTGCCAGTCATTTGATTATAACTCATTGCTTTCAGAAACTTCTAGGAACTTACATATTTTAATGTACTGTGAGTAATAAAATCTCCAGTCAGGAAAGGCCAGGAGCAGTAAGCCAGAAAAAACAAACGGCCAGGACTGCTGGGACTGAGAGTGAAACACCACAGGCTTTCCTAGGGAACTTCCTCCAAAAACATCTAGAGGAAGGACTAGGTGTTCCGACAAAAACTGTAGTTTTCTGAGGCTGATCAATCATCAGATGTAACTTGCTTCTAGCAGAACTCACAGCTGGATAGAGGGATTGATTTGTCAGCTTTACTTCCTCTTGAAAGTCACCATTTTGGGATTTTGTGAACAGTTTTCCTGCATTTTGCCTTTGAGGATGATACTTCATCCCAGTGTTTGGCTGTGCAAAGTACATGTCCTTCTCCTGGTGTTTCTATAGCTATGGCTAAGGCTTGAAATACATAAGCATCTGTAATGAGGCTCCCACAGTGTGAACAGGCAGATTTTTAGAGCTGCTGCACACCCAGTAGCTCCTGCTGAAGTCAGTGTCCCCTTAGGTAGGTGCACACATGGGAAATTAGGCAGCCACTTCAAGAAATGTCTTGATCCATCACTTTATTCAGATTGTTTTTAATGCTGGTGGGAAAAGTGCTCAGCTCTGCAGTGATGACTCTGGGATTCATGTCCTGTGACACGAATGAAACCTCACACTCTCTGCAGCCAGACTTCCCAGGCATTAAGCGCTTTTTGGGATCAGGATTCCCAGCAGTACTTCTAGTCTTTCTTGCACATTAATATGATTTCTTGCTATGACTTGGTTCTCTGGAGCACTCAGCTGGCAGACTATTTCCTATGAAACATGATGCTGCTGTTCTTCGGGTTTGGATGAGCTGTGATAATTCACCTCCCATGGAAGCACGGCTCCTCTGGCTATCCTTATCCTCAGCAAACATGTTCTGAGATGCTGGGTGATAAAACACCTGTTTTCAACACTTCTTTTGTTGCACCCTGCTGTGAAATCAGCTATAGTTTTGGAGCATTAATCATATCTGAGCTCCTTCGCTTACATTCTGATGGCAGCATGCCTGCTGCAAGGGGATTTCTGCCTCTGAAATGGGCTGGGATCTCTGGCATTTGTTTTCAAGCAAAATCAGCAGCTGGAATGGAGGTAAATGATGCATTCACAGCACAGTTTATTTCTTACCCTAGGTTTGAAGAGTGCTTCAGCTCAGCCAGAATTTTCCAAGAATGGAAATGGACAGATTTCCAGCCAGTGTAAACTGACATAACTCATTCAGGAGATTTACACCCTCTCAGCAGCTCACTCTTTGTTTCTTCACTAAGTGCTTTCCTCTTTTCAGTACACATTCTTTTCTTTCACAAATCACTTTCTTATTATTGATGAATTTTTCTTAACACTGCTTTTACAGATGTCAATCACATAATCATTCAAACACTGACATTTTTTGCACTTAAGTACATACCACCATATTTTGTACTAACAGAAACATTGCACTGGAGTTTAAAACACAAAGAAAATCAAGAAATTGAAGGCTGAAGACAATAATGTGACAGTCTTGGCTGGCTGGTTTAGGTAGCTCTAGGTAAGTTTTCTCCTTTTTAGTGCTGTGAATCAGAGTGTTGCTGCTGTTGGAAAGGTCTTTACCACAGCATTACTAAACCTGGTTTAGGAAGTCCCTGACCATTTTTCTTGCCAGGGACTGGGAGAGAATATCCAGGAGAGGACCCTGGTACACTTGTGCTATTTTTATATTTATCCCTAGGCTTCTGCTGCACACCACCATTGCAGTCCCAAGGCTCTGTCCTCCAGCCTTGCATTCTTATACTCAACTAAGTCTTATTTCCCACTGATGCTCTCCACAGCTGGACCCTGATGAGTATAAAAAATATTTTTGACATGTAATTGCTTAAAAAAACCCTGATTATTTCAGTAAAAAGAGATCCAATTAGTCTTGTTACATCTCAGCTGTGAAATTCTGGTTGAAGGAAGAGGGAGTTACTAAATATTGACTATCTGCTGTCCTCAGGACCACTTTGTCCTCAAGCCTACTGTCACAATCTTCTCTGCATTCAGTTTTACATTTGGAAAAGATGTTTCTGGGGGTGTCTGACAGATGTTCTTCACATCATGATGACTTAACCTTGAGATCTTGCCTGCTTGAGACGTGTCTTCCCATTTTAATTGGTTCTGTTTGTTAATTGCTGTTTTTAACTCCCTAGGCAGGCTGCTGTTGGAATTTAGGTTCACCTTCTGTTTGTTCTTAGACTACTTCTTACACCTTTGGGAAATGACCTAAGGAGGACTTTAATTATCTCAGTTAATTTCAACAGGCATCTTCTTATTTTGCTTCCATTCCCCCTCCAGACTGGATACAATTCTGACACTTCGGTTCTTGCACAAAGCACAGACTAAGAACTGCAGATGTGCAGATGTTGTCCTTTGCTGTGATGCTTTCTGCAGGTTGTTTGCACACTATGAAGTAACTCCTGAACACTTTTACTCCTTTTACAGTGGAGTAGGAAAAAGGGCCTTTCAAGCATAGCTTAGTTCTCCTCCTGTGTAAAGTTGTAAGCTGGAGTTTGAAAAATGATCTGATTAAAAAGCACTTCTTTGTAGCAACTTTTATTTCTCAGTAATCTGCATTTTTAAACAACTAATGCTAAGCCTTCCCAAATGGCAAGCTTGGCTCTAAACAACTCTATGAAGTCACCTTGCTGCTTTCTCTTAGCACTAAAAGCTGTGTCTGGATTTCTAGTGGTTTATATGTATTTTATACTCATCATCGTCTGTGGAAGACTTGTGCACATTTTGGAAGATTTGTTTTCCTAAATCAATGATACTTACACTGAATTTTTTTCGTGTTTGTGGTTTTAAAAATTTTTAATTTTTTTTTTTTACCAGAATAATGTACAATTTTATAAGATTATATAAATTACAGAAATTAATTTTAGATTCCAAATGGCACCGGGACCTTAAGAAATTCAGATTTGGAATGGGTCTGAACTGCAAGTGATTCTTTGCTCGTTGTAGCCTCCTGGGCCTACCTTAGATTAAATTGTTTTCTGAGGAAGCTGCTGGTATAGGGTTCTGCTGTTTGAGAAGGATTATTGCCACTGCATCAGTCCTGGCTGTTCGTTTGCTCTTTCATTAAAAATGTTGCACCTCTCCCATAAAATCATTTTGGAGGTGACCTGAATTTCTGTTCGAGGTCTCTCTGAAAGGATTGCAGACTAGTTAAAATTGATATTAAATGTCTTAGTATCATTTTATCAGAGCCCCTGAAAGCCATTTTGGCTTTGTTTCTATTCACCAAAAGTATAAATCACTAACTTTATTATCAGATGAGTGGGCTATGGCCCATCTTTTCTGCCTTTATTCAGAAGCTTTTGAAAGTTGTAAAAAATGCAGCATACACTGTCCTGAGTATTGGCTTAGCCATAGAATTAGCTCTTGCTTAGAGAAAATAGTGCAATTACCATGTGTATTGACAGCTGGGAAAGAATTGACATTCAGTGCAACTGACTTTAACAGAGATATTGAATTTATGTTGGCAGCAAAGGCTCACCTGAACCTATAGTTAAGCCTTAGTATTTGAATTTTTATGTGACTGTAATTTCTGATTCTAATGGGAAGGTACTCTGGAACTTCAAAAGTAAAAGTAAAAAAGTTTAATAGAGTTATGGACCTCATAGCATAAAGAAGTTAAGGATTTTTCATTAAAAAGTAGTCCTTTTCCTGAGAGATTTAAGGCCCAGGGGTGCACATCATAGAACTTATGTAAATATATGAAATTGTTACACCATACTATACAGTAAACCCTGATTTCAATTAAAAAAAACCCCCAACTCTTTGTGTTTGAAATTACCTTTGGATAATTTCTTTTTAATTTTTGTCATTTCAGTTATGAAATAACGTTCCTATATTGTCTACATGACTCATACTTTTTGAAATATTTAGTAAGTCCCAGAAATCCCTCTGAAACAAAATATAAGAATGGATCCTGTTTTCTCACCACAATGAGCAAAATCTCATGTTTTAAATTCAGCACTGGCTTCTGATTGATCATCCATGTATTTTGTCAGAGAGAATACAATGGGTGAAGCTGTCAAAGAAAGGAGTACATTCTTGACAATGCTTAGAGTTCCAGCCTGAGCCACTCAATTGCATGGCAACAAGATCATCTGCTGTAACTCAAAATGTGCAGAGAAGTACCAATAAGGAAGAAATTCCAATAAAGGAAGAAAAGGAGAGTTTATGGGCAAATCAGCAACTCCTAGCACGCTCAGAGATGTCCCCTAGGAGGTTTGCAATGCTTCCTCCAGTGCACATCTTAGAAGCCACTGCCTGTGTTGGGAGGGCAGCAGATGACAGCGATGTACACACACATGAGTCCACCCCTACACAGGTAAGCACTTAAGGCAATACTTAATGTGCTCCAGGAAATTACAATTTATAAATATCTGCAACTGCTACTTAATTCAAAAGCAATATAGTTAATTTATACAGAGTCATGCACATATAAAAATGTAAAGATGAAAACCCACCATATTCTGGGACCTGGCCTGTTCCACGTTTCAACAACAGTCGCACTCTCCTGCCACCAGACTTGATTAGCTCTATTGCTCTGGCATGTGTCATGTCCCTTGTGCTTTCTCCATTGATTTCAATTATTTGATCTCCTACCTGTCAGGTAAGAAGAATATTGAGTCAGACAGAATTGCAGTAAAATGAGTGTTTCGGGAACAGACATATTCAATGGATCACAGGTTACTTGAATGACAGACAGACACATCAAGGAAAATTTGTTCCTGTCTATCTGAGGAATATTACTGGCAGATCAAATAACCTCCAAAGTGGATTCTGAATGTGGTATATCAAATACTGCTTGTCTTCTGCTGAAATCAGTGTAATGCCTGTAACTTGCTCACATCTTCTGCACGTAGAGGCTTTGTTGAATTACTTGACGTGGTGGAGTGACTGGAACATTATCTGTGCTACTCTGTAACATGCAGTGTTGTGTGAGCCTGAGAAGAACTTTCTTGCACTTGCTGTTTTCATAGAGAAAAGAGAGGTTCAAAGCACAAATAGAAACTTCCATCATTTGAATTTCCAAACCTCGGTAGTAAAGTTTCACACCAAATTAAGAGTCGTTATGAAGCACGCCATTAAACAAAGAAAGGTTAGCGCTATGACACAGGGCAAGCAGGTTTGCTGGAGTTCAAAGAGCATGCTTTGAACTATTTACCACAGGAGCTTTTTGCTGGGAGTAAGCACAGCCTGTGGCGGAGCTGTCTAGTTAGAGCAGCTGACTCCAGGGTTCTGCTTATGGATTTCTGCCACTCATCTCCTGGCCAGATTTCCAGTTAGAGCTGGCTTCATTATTATTTTTCTGCTCTATTTCTACAGCAGTTAAACGCGGCACTGATGTCTGCACATCCCATCCACCCCAACCTCCTTGGCTTTGCCTCCAGCCTGCATGTTTTGGTTCTGGCTGGCTTTCCATGCTGGAAACCTTCTCCTTCAGTAGGGGAGCAGTTGGTTTCTGCTGTGCCTGGCCAGCGCAGCTGAGAGCAGGGTAGGGAGCAGCACTGCACAGCCTGCTGTGATACCCCTTTGTGGTGAGAGCCTTCAGCCAGACACATAGTGAGGTGACACGTGAGCCTCCTGCTAGCAGCACCACAGCTTTGGAATTTGTGTCCTGCAGAAGCCTCCCAGCCCCCTTGGAAGGGCAACCTCAGTGAACCCCAGAAGGAGGGATGATGTCCTGGTGCTGGTGGAGGTGCAGGTCCGGGTGATGGCAGCCCAGAGAGGGTCTCAGGTGAGCGGGTCAGCACACTCATTTGTCAGTGCCGGAGGAACACATTTGCTCAGCAGGATCTTACCTGCCTCATATGCACCTACAGCTTCCTCACAATGTGTTTTCACCACACTAAAACATCAATGCCTACACATCCTAGAGAGGAGATTATACAGACTTTAAGGTGACACACACTTTCTTTCCATCTTACAAGACTGTCTTAACAAAACCAGCTCTTAGCTGGCCTTGGACATTGAAATATCTTCTGTTTTGTATGTTTTCTTTGCTACAGTTGTACTTCTGTCAGCTCAAAGTGTAATCCTTCAGAGGTTTTCCTTCTTTCCTGAGTTTGAAATATAGTATTTACCAAATAAATGTGCACAATGTGAAATGTCAACACAACTCCCAGCATCAAAGAAAAGCTGGAAAGGATGTCAAGAAGTTATCTAGTCCTTACTTTTGCAGAGAGACAGAAAGAATGCTAGTAGAAGTACTATGACAGTGTTTCTCAATAGGAATTAATAGAATTCATATTTGTCAATAGGAGCTGTTTTGTCCTAGGATCCTGTATGCAATCTATGCTGATACTTTGTGTAACTAAAAAGCCATTGATCCAAATAAAACCTATTAGCTTTGCTATTACACTTTGTAAATGCTGCAGTATTAACAGTGGGAAAAAAGAAATCAAAATTATCTCGTGCAGTATTATTTTTGCAGTGAACATTTCTTCCTCAGCTGATTTTCTCTCTAATAAAGAATGCATTTGGTTGTACCATGCAGTGCAAAATTTAAATATTTCTGACAGCCTTCAGGCCACACTGACACACAACAGAGGTGCTCTCTGGATCATTGTGAGATCTCCCCCAGGTCTGGCCATACAGAGCCCTCTGCATCCCCCAGACTTTTGGAGAATGCAGCTGGTTCACACACTTGGAGCAAAAAAAGAAAACCTGTGTCACCACTCCTGTAACAGAGACAGAAGATGGATTTGTAGCATCCCCACAAAGATATTAATCAGGCCAAATACAGAAAAAAATTCAATGATTTTGGGAAAACCTGCTCCTAAATGTCATGAAACAATTAAAACCCATAGTAATCCTGTAAAAGTCAGATTTTCAGAATGCCTGAGGACAGTTCTTTTTTTTTTTTTTTGTGGTACATTGCCTGGGTAGACCATATTTTGCAGAAGGTATTTAAAATGTTCTTGTTAGCATGTCTTGAGAGAAGTGCCAGATTAGATCAAATGAAAGAGGTGTTTTTAACACTCCTTGATGAATAGCTTTTAAAATTAGTACTGAAAGCTGTTTGAGAATATACAGTCCTTCAAATAAAATCCTCTGCACTCTAGAGCAGAAAGACAGAAAGATTTTAATACAGTTTAATATGTAAAAAGGTTAAGTTAATGTCACATTTTTCCCTTGCTGTTTATCTTCCTCCTGTTTTCACTGGTCACTATGCAGGAACTATCTTGTATTAATGTAACTTTTCCTGCATTTCTGTGAATTCACAATTTTTTTTCTCTGTAGGAGGCACGTAGCTCATTTGGTATTTTCTTTCATTATAAAATATTGTAGTTGATTTGATATTTCCTTTTCTTCTAAAATATTATGTGCAAATAACTTGAGAAAGCTTAAAAAAAAAGGCTAGCATCTTGGTTGAAGGAGGGGAGAGAAACAAGTTTGCAAAAATTAGGTGTTCTGAAATCTACATCAGAAAGGGTGAGACCAGAGCTATAATGAATAGTTGCAGGAGCAGTGGGTTAATTGTGTTCCTTGCTTTTGTGTCTTGTGGCTGACTGATGTGCAGCTGAATTATAGTGCCTTTGCAGCACAAGCCCAGCTCTGATTAGATGAGAAAACAACAAGGAAAAGTTGTCAACACTCTTACCTCGAGAAAAGCTTCAATTAGACTTTGCACTCATATCTGGAAATTCATACAAAAGAGAAAACCTTGGCTGAGGAGTGGTTCCCCATGTGTCAGTAAGGTACAATTCTTGTTTCTTTCCTGCAGTTAAACCTTGATAACCTTCCCTTCTTTTCCCTCCATGATGTAGATTTTCTTATGGCTGATATAGGACAAAACCCTGCTGTGTGCTCTCTTTGTCCAGGCATTCAAATATGCTTTCTCCTTCAACTTTTCTATTCTGGAATAAATTTTTAGATTTGTGGAGCTATTTCTGTCTTTTCTAAATCCAGTGATTTTTAGAGAGGATCTTAGATACACCCACATATTGAAGATACACCAAGGTGAGGCCAGAGGTAATTGGAAACATAAAATCAGAGTCTGTTACATGGGATCCTCATTTCTCTTTTTAGACTCAAAAGATGATTCCTGCAGTTTATACCACACAGCATTTCTCTGCACTTCTCTTCTGGATCCTTCCATGTCTGTTCACAGTGTCCAAACTGAAGATATTATGAACGTGGGAGGGTAGGTAGAACAGATCAAAATGATAACATTCTTTCCACATTTACTAATAATGTTCACAGAACAAATTCTTTGCCTTTTCGTGACACATCAGATTTGCAACCCATGGTCAGTTTGGATTCTGAGCAGTTATCTCACATTTTACATTGTGCATCTGATTTCTCTGCCCTAAAATGAGCACTGTACACCTCTATGACTTTTATCAAATTGACTGCTTTAGTACAAAATTTTAATTTTAAAATAGTCTGTTTCTCAAAGTCTTTTTAAACTCCCTATGAATAGTGAAATACTGGCATCTGCAAATTATTATTTATCAGTCGGTCTCCAATTATTAATGGCATATTGAACTGAGTTTGTTTCATTCCAGACACCTCAGAACTACATTTGTAATTATTATTAAGGAGCAAACCATTCAGAGCAGCCTTTGAGAGGAATTATTGTCAGTAACCACGTTAGAAGAGATTCCATCTAGGGCCTCAACTTTTTTATGTGAATTTCATAGAAGGTAGTTTTGAAAGGTGAAAGGAGGATTGTACATTCTCCTCCCCCTTTTTCCACATAGAAATAAGAATGAAAATCAGACATAAGAAAGCAAAATTAGACTGGTGTGACAAGATTTGCTTTCCACAATTCACATGCAAGTGAACTTTCTCAACTTTTTGATAACTTGTCGCAGATTATTTCTGAGTACACAAGTTAAAGGAATTTTTTCAAATTTGTATTTAAAAATAGGGTATATGCTTTACTTTCTCTAGTCTAACTTTCTTGTCCTCCACGAATTCTTAGACACAATTAGTAATAGTCTATAAATTTACTTGCCTTAGTCATTGAGCGTACATGAACAGCAGCAAGTTCTGCAAACTTGAATCTAAGTATGCTTTAAGCAGTTTTCTCCTTATTCTGATTTATACTAATTTCTTTGTTGATGTTTGTGTGAACATCTCAATGGAGACTGATACAAAGAAAACACTGAATATTTCAGCCATCTGCACATTCTCATCAGGCAGTTGACCTCTTTTTTTTCCAGTTCTTGATGTTTCTTTAAACGTGTGAAACAGAGGGATGTACCCTTTTCCAGTCCCAACAGGCAAGCTCTGCATGTGGGACACTCCCCAGGCTGGCATCAACTCTACTTTTTAACCTTCCTGGCAGTCCTCAGCAAAGACTACAAGGCAGGAGTGACCTGCCTCTATGTTCTCCAGATGTTCTCAGCAGCTGAAGGGTGCATGAGAAGCATGCTGGCAAGACAGCCTGGGAAGCTTGCCTGGCTGCTGCCCGAGCTGTGTTTATTCTGAAGAAACCTGTTCTTTGCAGCTATGAATCTGGAAATTTTATTCACACTGGTTTTGTGTTGTGTTTCTTTCTTCCTGAGGAACATGACCCTTGCTAAATACCTACCCAAACCCACTGGTTCTCCTCCTAACCCAATGCCACTTGGTAAGCAGAGCGCTCCTCTATT